TCTCTCGTGGAGGATGAAGACTATTTCTTCAGGTTTGTGTGTGAAGGCATGATTCAGGACATGTGTTGCTAGGACTTGGTGCATTACTCCAAGCTTTGGAAACAGGAAGGCAACAGTTTGTTTCCAAACACATTCAGTGTTTTGAAAACCTGAGACAATAATTGCTGCCTGGTTCTTTGCACTGAGTACACAGGTGGGGGTTTGGGACCAAATTAATTTCTGATGTAACTTTGGACATCAGTGGTGTTTCACTGCTGGTGAATGTGGCCAGTCTTTGGTTTGTGAGGTTGACTCACTCATGAGTGAACCACTGAGTCACAGGTCAGTGGACAAGTTGCATTGTAATTTTATAGACATTTCAGAAAAATAGGCTTTGATTCTTAACATCTTTTAAAATCAGATTGCTTAAGTACTTTCAATGAAAGCATTGCAAATTGACTGTGATTTTAATCACCATTTTATCTGATTTTTTAAATTTTCTGTAAGAATCTAAAATATTTAATTTAAAAGATTGAAAGATGAAGGATATAATTCTTGGTTTAGAGAAGATGAGTGACTGGATCCCTGTGCTGGGACAGTTTTCTCTGATGATGGAAACTGGTGGAGCTAGCAAGGCAGACTGGCCCGGGGTTAGGGGTCCCACGCATCCCCCCCTGCTCCTGTGCTGCTGATAAACCCCAGGGCTGGGTGGGAGAGCTGACAGGGCGATGCTCACCAGCCACAGCGACTGCTGCGGGACATTATCGCAGGGTTGCATGGTAGGTGGGGACTTGTGGGGGTTGAACTGAAACTGCTAAAACCAGTTTTGATCAAGTTCAAAAAAATCCTCAGTGTTCAACAAAATTCTTCAGTTCATCAAAATCCTTAATGATTGTGAAAAATGTACAATAAAGCACATTTGTTAGCATGTCACATCGTCCTGTTTGCTCTGTAAATTGGGAGGAAAAAAGCAAAGCCTGAGCCTCCCTGTCCCATCGCTTCACCCCCTGATTTGGGCAGTGGTTCCCTCGGAGGGCAGTGAGGTGTGAGCAAAACGGAGCCCTGTTAAGCAGAGGAGCAATGAGGCTGGGAAGGCTCCTGGCCCAGTGTCTCAGGGCTGTGCTGAAGGGATGCAGCCCCAGCAGCTGCTTTTGCTGGAGATACCCCGTATCACTGTCCCGCTTCCCTGGGGCAGCTTTGCGCTGGCTGCGCCCTGGGTTTGGGCACCGTTGTTCTGCATGGATGCTCCTCGCCATGCCTGAGCGAAGATGGACTGAAGCGGGACAGGAATCTTGCTCCCTGCATTTCCCTTTCCCAGGCGACTGTCCCAGGGCCAGGGAACGGGCTGTACCCTGTGTGGCTGGGCGCCGCGGGAAGGAGCCCTGTGTCCCACTGCCCTGCCACGGCTGGAGCTGCTGCTGCAGGGGATCAGAGCGGTCACTGGAACAGAGCTGCCTCTGTCCCTGCAGCCTGGCGTACCGCAGAGAGGGCCTTTGGATCATCTGATTTTGAGGCTCAAAGGGTAACATCCCGTCCAGCTCCGCTGCATATGTTGGGGTCGCAGGGTTTACTTACAGTCTTGGCTCTGGCGTGGTGCATCCTAGTTGAATCCAGGAGGATGGTTTTACTTGGGCATGAAAGCAGAACTGAGACCACAAAACTTGTGTAGAAGTCTCCAAAAATCACTCCCAGTGTCCTGGCATGTCTGTGGCACTGTCTATCCAGAGATCAGAAGGTATTTCACAAATGCAGCCAGGGGAGGTTTATTATCTCTGTGTTGTCATGGGAAACTGGGGCAGAGGTAGGACCAGTGACTTACCCGAGGTCACACAATGGGGCCTTGGCAGACCTGGGAAAAGTGTGAGGAGCACCTGGATCCTAAGCCTCTACTTTAGTCAAAGAGCTACTGCCAGCTCTATCAGCAGCCTCTGCATTTCCCAGGGCTCCCTGTAGGATCTGGTTTAAGGCACGTGCACGACAGCATTACCTAATTCTGCTTTTTCATATCCAGGCATCTGTGAGAGCAGGACTGGTCTGGCCTGCTTGATTTTTATTTTTTTTTTTTTTTAAACAAAGATTTTAAGATTTAGTATTTCTGGGGTTCAAGGGTGAACTGGCCTGCATGACTAATTTCTGATTCCATTTGCTGCTCCTAGTACTAATATTTGCCAAAAGCAGCTTTTAATGGTAAGTCAATCCCATTATTCTTGAAGGGTCTGTGATATGAGTAGAGATAGGAAAATTGCCAGGAAAGGGCATTTCAAGTCTTATACTAACCTTCTATAAATTCAACTGTGTTATTTTAAAGGAATTTTGCCCATCTATGCACTGTTTCTCCAGGAATGTAGAAATCCAACAACCATCACAAAAGCCATTCACATTAGCAGCCTGCTTGTGAATTTTAATTAACAGGAAATGCCACTCGCATTGAAATACAACATCCAGAATATCTCTGCTTTACTCCTTTGATGTTCCCCATCCAATCCTAGACCAACATGCACATGTTCTCCTGAGACACTTGGAGGAAAATAATTCTGGTTTATTTACAGTAGGAAAGCATCTTTTATCCCAGAAGCATTCAAGTTGCTTTACAAACTGTTCACACAGAAGAGCTGCTATAGCGTCTTTACAGCGGGGAGTGATTCTGGGGCTCAGCTGATTTGCACCCAGCAGCAATGCTGAAAGTTCAGGAAAGGGAAAGATTCCTGAAACAAATGAAAGCTGGGCATGATAGGGGAAACTCAGCTATTGCAAGTTAGATAGCCTCGGTTCCCTTATCACATTTATCCCTCATCAGTCACTGAGAGGACATTGCTGGGATTATTCTGTATTTCTATAGTAGAAACGTAAGAAGACATGACCTGGCTCTGTATCACCATAAATTGTTCATTTGCATGTGACATTAACAAGCAAAGAATCACCACTAATGGGCTAATCTTTCCCATGCCTCCAATTTCTTGAAAAGGCAGAATAACATGATCAACAGGTGCTGATGATATTGCCATGGAGAAATATCTTCAGCATTAAATAATCCTATTTTTAGCCCACCATTTATCTGTACCCAGTCATTTTCTTAAGCTGTAGTGTTCATGTACCCCATACTCTACCTGTGATACACCGTGCACAGTGCACCCCCTCCCATCATTGTCACCAGCGCGGGGTTACCCTGTCACTACAGGTTGAACTTTCAGGTGTCTTGGCAAGAGACTCTTGTTCAGACTGCCCTGAGACCCACCCTGTGAGCACTGCAGTCGGCAAAGCAGAAATGGATTTAAAATCTCTGTCCTGGATGGTATGAGCTCAGTCACCATCCCTAATCGGAGCAAAGCCAGGCTGTGCCTCCTGGCTATGATACAAATGAAACCCCCTCTTGTCTTCTTATAGTTACAGCAAGCTAGTTGCAGGCGTGTGGATCTCTTTGTATCCTATTGTAGTGCTAGAAAGTCTAAATCAGGGATGTTAGGAAATTCTAGAGCTTGAGCTCTACAGAGACTGGAGCTTGTCAAGAAAGCAAAGCCCATGTATACCACCTGGAGCTGGGCCACAAGATTCCCAGCAACACAGGGTGGGAAAAGGCACCTCGGAGCATCTCAGGGCGACACAGCATACGCATCCCAACACCAGCTCGCCAGCCTCCTGCTTCTTCACTTCCTCAGTTTTCCCTAAAACTCTCCACCCACAGACTTCTTTCGTTTCTGAGCTGAAATGAAGACAGACCTTGAGGTACTTTAGCAGAATGTGACCACAAGATGTCACAGCTGCTTTGCTGAGCTGCATGGTCCTACCCATGTCCTGCTCCCCAGCCTTGCCCACAGTTCTTCCTGTATCTGTATAAACACACACGCTGGTGGTTTTTTTGGGGGTGTGTGTGGTTTTTTGGGGTTTTTTTTGTTGTGTTTTTTTTTTTTTTTTTTCCCAGAACAAGCTTGTTCATTGTGTCCTAGGGAAAGTTAGGCATTGATGGTTCAAGCTCATTCAGAGTTTATCAGTTCAAGGTATAAAATAGAGGGTATCCTAGATTTAGGATAGTCCAGCCTGCAGAGATCTGTTTGGGGTTTTTTTTCGGAGTCAAAGTCTTTGTCTGACTGCATACAAGCACTTCTTGGTGCTGCCTGGAGTTACTGGTCAAGCACAGCTCCCCCACAGACTTCAGCTCCCCTTTGCCAGATGATGCTGCAGGCTCAGAAAACACTCATCACTATGTTATGGACTTGAAGGTTTTTTGGTTTTTTTTGCAGCCCAGAAAACTACCTGCTGAGCCTGGATGGGGTCCCGGGGGCTGATGAAATCCATTAGCTCAGAAATATAGTGAGAAAGAAGTTTGATCTTAGAATAGCATCTAAGGAGAACCTGATGAGTTTTGCAGAATACAGCTATGGGCCTTTTAGGGTGGTCCTTTATAGTCTGTGAATTGAATTCGGGACCTAATTCATGGCCTGGGCAAGCAATTGCTATGGATGCTCCAAACAAATGGCACTTTCTTTCAGGCCCGCCTGGCTGGTGCCTCTTCCCGGCTGGAGCCAGAGTTCCTCACTCCGTGTCTGTGCTCCAGGGCACCAGGAGAAAACCTTTGCTCTAACAGCCACGTGGGAAAAAGAAAAACTCGAGCAATACAGCAGAGCTGTTGAGTGGAGCGGCAAGAGCAGAAAGGACTTTGGTACCTGCAAGAAGGGCTGAGGAAGCAGACAGAGGTTTGCCTTGCCCGCCCGTGCTCGTGATTGCTGTCCTGCCATGACTGCTGCTGCCGAGGGGTCCGGCCGCGTCCCCAGGGGAAGGGGCTGCTCTCCCTCCGCTCGCCGGAGAGCAGAGCCCCGTGTGTTCCGTCCCCGGGGGCGGCCGGGACAGGGCTGACCTCCAGCCCTTTGCCCTCTCCCGCCCAGGGGAGCATGAGAACATCCCGGGGGCCCGGCAGTTCCCACCCGCAGGAGGGCTGGGCTGGGCTGGGCCCAGGACAGCGGGTCCCTGTAAGGAGCGAGCTCAGCGCCGGCGCGGTGAGCTGGGTCGCCTTCGCCCACAAGCGTCCTGTAACCCACGAGCTCAGTGCCAGGAGTGATACAGGTTTCTTGTACAAGCTGATCCAAGGAGGGGGAATCTTCTTTGAAAACATAACTGAGGAGCAAACACCACGGGCTGGTCCTTGTCTCCTGGCAAGGGGGTTTGGTGGCTGGATCTCTGTGCCCTGCACATCCCAGGGGTCATCCCATGGGGACTACACATCTGGGAGCTTCTCAGCACTTTGGGAATCCTGCCTGTGGCAGGGCTTTCTTTGCAGTGGATTTACTAGCTATAGGAAATTGGAAAAGGTTCAACTTCGAAGCTTCATGTTCCTCTTCTAGGAATATGAGATGGGCCTGAAGCAGTTTTTGTACCCCACACACAAGCTCATGGTTTCAGCAGGGAGCAGCAGCCTGCGAGTAAAGGTGGACAATTATCAGCACGTGGTTTGCTGGATCTTATCACACCCTTCATGCCATGACTGATGTCTAAAAGAGGAAAAGCTTCCCTTCTCTCTGCGAGCAATCCCAACCTTGCTGCTCACTGGTGGGCAGTGGGGAGGGGAAGTCAGCTGGGGTGAGACAGCTGATTTCCTCACAGAGGATGGTGACACCCCGTGTTCCACATGATGCTTGTTCCATCTTTGTCAGTCCATATGTCATTGACTCACTTCTTTTCAGCTATGTGTCATGAAAATAAGCCTTCTCTGCAATAACAATAGGATGCGAAGTGTAAAGGCCAAGCAGTGCTGTGCAGCCCTGTTCTGTCCTGTCGTGGGTTTATTCCCCAGGCTTTGTATACCAGGTTTGCGCACTCACTCCAGGAATTGACAGCGTTGCTGATCTGAATTGCCTTAAAACATCTGGTTTGTTTTGTTGGTTTGGGGTTTTTTTTGAGTCCTGGCTTTCTGGTGCCAGCTGCCTTGGTTTCCTATCCTGCATCTCCCAGCAGCTGCATCCAGGATCCTCTCTGAGATCAATAAGGCACTGGAGCATGGAAAATTTTCGAGCAAGACTGGAGCACCTCTCTGCTGCTGGGTATGTAGTGTCTCTTTAACCCCTCTCCCTCCCTCTGTCTTGATAGCTGTTGAATGGCCTTTTCCACTGAAAAACCTCCTTTGCTAGTCAAAATTCTCCCTCAAGCTGAGGGTGCTGTTGGGCAGGGGCAGATGGGAATCGCCTGGCTCAGTTTAATCCTGGGGAGAGGCTCCTTCTCCCTGCCAGGTTTTCTGATCTCTGTAGAGTCACTCCAGATGTGAGGCCTGAGAAATTATATTCCTTCCCAAGCATTTGTTTTTGTTAGACGTTTAAATAGCTTTATGGGACATTTCATCCTGTCTGTAGTAGCCAGATTCTTATCCTTGGAGATTTCCTCTGGCACTGGAGCTTTAGTGTGAAACTGTTTTCTCTGATCAGTTCTGTATGTGTCACCCTTAAACCTTCAGATTTTTGTTTGGTCTCCTCTTAAGAGGCAGGGAGATCAGAAACTCCTACTCAACTGCCTCTTATCCATTGAACACCTTGTAATTACAGAGCTGATGGAACAATTTCCACAACAACCAGGAGCCTTTTTTTTCTCCCTCCAGCATCCTCTAAATAACCACTAAAGTCACTCTTAGCCACTGCCAACAAGTTCACCCCTTTGAATGACTTTATTATGATTTTTATAGAATAATACAATGGTTTCCTGTGCTTGCATTAGAGGAGAAGCAGTTGCATTGTGCTTGGTATTTCTCCTTTCAATACCTTGAACTTCCCTGTCCTGCGTGCTTCCAGGGAAGATCTCAGTCCCAGCTACTCAGGTTAGCAGAGAAGTAGAGAAGAGTGAGACCAGAGGCACTCAGAGAAGGACATTATAAAGATCCATATGTGTTAATCTCAAGAAAGTCTAATTATCATATTTCTGTATTTTCTCTGCTGACACTCAGGTACTTGTTCTTTTTACAGTATGAGAGCCCATGTCTACTGTGAAGACCTTCTGTTCCCAAAGGTGCGCAGGACCATGGCAGACCTATGGTCAGTTTACTCCAAGCCTGTCCCAGCAGACGGCAGAGAGCTGTGGACCTTGTTTCTGCAGTGTTCCTGCATTACAGCGGTGATAGGAGGCCTCTTTTACAACTGGATGTTTGCCTCCCTGGAGTACTCCTGGCACCTCTCCGTTGCAATGGCTGTCTCCTTCAGTCTACTCCTTCTCCTAACTCTTTTCTTGGTGCATCCTGCCCGTTGTGTCTTCAGTATGATCATGCCTACATTAGGAACCAAACAAGGCCGGAAGATTCTCTTGTCAACTTGCATCATGATAGTAGTGGCTAACATAATACCCAACATCATAAGCAACATTAAAACAATACTGCAGATTATTAAGTGCATCAGCAAGAATTCCTCTGAGAGTCTTTTGAACTCAACTGCTCTGCTGGAGACAGCTTCCTGGGAGTTTGGGGATGCAATCCAAGAAACTGCTCAGTCCATTGATATTTATAGGCCTATGAATGGACATTTTCAGGTTTCACTGCTTAAGAACAGCTCCTTGATTTACCAACAAATGCACCTTGCTAGTGAGAAAATTGGGAGGGACTTTTTGATTGTTGAGGTATGGGTCAAAGACTCTGTGCGAGTAGGCAACAAGCTGTTCGCTGGCTTCTCCATGCTCTATCTCTGTTTTGAGTCCACTTGGTATTTGAAAAATTATCTCACCAACCTCCGCTTTGACAATTTTTACATCACCGAGAAGCTGGAGAGTTTAGCTGTGGACAGAAAAGCAGCTCATCTGCTGGTGGGCTCATCCAAAAACCTCATTCGACCAACAGGCTTGAAGTTGTCCCGGGAAGAAGTGATGCTGTGCCTTGTGCAAGCCATGCTCCTCACCGTGGCCTTGATGCTGATGCTGGTGGTTGTGACAGTGGACCACTTCACATTCAGTGTGGCAGACACAGCTGTGAGAAAGGCAGCTCAGTTCTCCACGGTGCCCGTCACTCTCAGCATCAAATACAGTGTAAGTGCTGGGGTCTCCTGTCCCTTCTCACGCAGGGATGCCGCTGTATCAGATCACAGGAGGCAGCAGTGGGGATTTCAGTCTTTGTAGCTTTATGTACACAACCCTTATTTCCCTCCCCAGCAGCCATCTGGACATAACAGGCTTTTGGAGGAGGAGGTAGAGGCACAACCTCAGTTTCTCCTTCGAGTGAATCAAACATACCCACTCCAAATTACAGCCCCTTGGGAGCGAGGAGGGGACAAACAGTGCAGTCAGATATCCCTGTATCTCCAGGTCCCTTCCCTATGCAGGGTGGAGGAACTGGCATCCCTGTGGCACCATCCCCCCACTGCAGAGCGGGTGCAAGCGCAAAAGGAAAGGGGAAGCAGCTGAAAACACATTTCAGCGTTAGGATGTCTCCTCACCTTCAAACACTGGCCAGTCCTTAAGGAATGCCCTGCTTTATTGTCACCCTGTGCAGTCCTTTTCACAAACCTCCTCAGTTTCTATTTTAATATCTTTTATCTGACTAGTTCTGGTTTAGTTTTTTAGCTCTCTTCTTTTACCACGCAGCCTGTCTCCCTCCCCAGCCCCAGAGCTCCTTAGTGCAGATGCCTGCTTATGATGAATTTACAGTAAAATAGTCAGAGCTTAGAAAAAAACTCTAATATTCAAATATGCAGCCACTAATACTTCTGTCTGCATTATGCCTTTCCCTGTAAATCCCACACAGTGAATACCTGTTACGATATCTGTAACAGCAGGTAAAGATGACAGATCGACTGGGTCTCACCATGTCAAGTACTCAGCGTCTACACACCATGCTGTTATCCTCGCTCAGCCTGAAGTGTATATGTACTTCAAGGTCCTTCTCTTAATGCACTCAAAAAAGCTATAATGGTGATTATACACCCCAGACTGATGTTTTTGTAGTAACCAGATGATTTTGGTTTGTTCACACCCTATTTAAGTCTAATTTTTTTTTCAGGCTAAAGTAGGGGTCCTGCCCTTTCTTTTGAAACTTTTACATTATGAAGAATTGCCACTTCAGAACTTTGAAAGAACCTACCACCATTCTCTGACCTTCAGCTCTGCCCACTGCAGGATCACCCCTCCAACACCTCCCAACCCCTCTGTGCTGCTTGTTGTGGGGCTGCTCTTCTGCATCCTCTACACCACTGTATTCCTGGAAACCTATGTGCACCGCCTGTGCAGAAAAATCGCAGGCTCCTTCTTTAAGAGCTGGGAGGAGAAACGAGCACTTTACCTCTACAAGAAGCTGTCCAGGAAGCACAAGGAGGAGCAAAGCTGCCTGAGAAACTAGGGTACTTTTGGAAATACAGGGAATGCCTGAGACCTGTTGTAGTGGCTGGGCACAGGCTTCTGCAGCGGAATCACACATTAAATTTTCCAGAGTCAGAGAAGTGTTTGGTGTCTGGGGAAAGATATTTGCCAAAAAAAAGAAAAAGGTGAAATGTCACATTTTGCATTAATTTGAGAAAAATTGGCGCTTTGTTTAGTTTTGTTTTGTTTAGTTTTGTTAATCTAGAAGGTCTGGAGTCAGCTGTTCCAGGAATGGTGATGACTTGTAGGATATCCCCATTAGGCATAGCTAACTGGGAAATATGTGGGAGTCAGTGTGGGGGAAGAGGTCATTTACTTCCCCCACCACATCCATGCTGGAAGAAGTACATGCTTCTTTTCTCTCTAAAATTATGCCTTCAGGCAGCAAGAAAGGAAACGCATTTGACTTGATAAATTTCAGTTTCAGGGAGTTTTTCTTTCAGGATTCATGCACAGAAAACTAGGTAGACTGGATAAATGTTAGCCTTTAGAAGATAGTTTATTCACCTAAAAAAGTGTCATTTCAGCCCACTGAAATAAATTCAAGACAATATAACCATGAGATGCAGATCCTGGGCATGGATGGTGGTGGAAATCAACACATGAGGACTTTATAAAATCACTCCACAATGGCTCTTCAAAATAAAATATAAATAAAATAGCTGAAGGACCTCAGAAGATGATGAGAGCAGCCAATAAAGGCCAGTTTGGATGTTGGTCTCTTTTGCCAAGTGAGAAGTGATAGGATGAGAGGAAACAGCCTCAAGTTGTGCCAGGGAAGGTTTGTATTGGATATTAGGAAAAAATTTTTCACTGAAAGGGTTGTCAGGCACTGGAACAGGCTGCCCAGGAAAGTGGTGGAGTCACCATTGCTAGAGGTATTTAAAAGAGTGTAGATTTGACACTTAGGATATGGTTTAGTGGTGGGCTTGGCAGTGTTAGGTTAATGGTTGGACTTGGATGATCTTAAAGGTCTTTTCTGACCTAAATGATTCTATGATTCTAACTTAGAGCAACAGCCTGGGGGACTTCAAAAGTGGTAGACAGAAATTTGCCAGTTGAGTCAGTGCTCTGCAGGGAACAGGGAAGTAGCAGGACTTGGAGGGCTGGACATGCCTAAACCAAGAGCTGGTTTTGCATGTTGGGTGGTTTCAAACTCGGAAACTATAGTATTGTATCTGAGATGCAAAAATCCATCACTATGCAGCATCTGAAACGTGTTACTTTTGAAAGAGGCAGACATGACATCTCTGTAAGGTCAAGAGCCAGAGGAGGGGGAGATAAATCAGTGCCAGCTTAAAAACAAAGCAACTTTGCAGCTTCATTTCTTCAAAACATCTATTATTTCCCTCCCTTCTCCCATTAGAGTCTTCATTAAGGTAATTATTTGACATAATGCACCTCAATGAGATTAAATTACAGAAGTGAAGTGGCTGCAGCCAGATGCACTGAATTCTCTCAGCTTCTGAGATGCTTGAAACAAAGTAGGTCTGGATTTTTTATTTTTTTTTTTAAGCATCTATCTCACAAAACCCTCTTGCATTCATCTCCCCAGGTTTCTAAATTCCCTGCTGTTCTGATGATTAATACAATCACCTTTCTGCCTCTACAGAATCTAGGGGGCTTTGTCATGGGGTTTCTGCAGAAAATGCCTTGTGCTGTTCTGTTTGGGGAAAGCAAAAAGATTTTCATGTGCTCACTGAGTAGCCAAAATTATCTGGAGTCAGGGGTTAAAATAGCTGGGAGGAGAACAGAGGAGCCCCTTCAGCCAGGAAACCATCCCAGCAGCCTGTTGTCTTCCAACAAACACATATTTAAAAGTTTTTCCTTCAGAAGAGGCAAGAGATATGCATTAATCTTCAAGAAATCATCTTTTTATGGCCAGCAGCATTTGGGGAACCCTCCCTGAGCAATACCCAGTTCCTCTCCCTGCCTTCTGAGAGGGGTCTTCAGAGGAGATTGGGGCATGGGGAGAGAAGGCTGAAATGGTGAAGTGCCGGGAACAAGCATGGGGATAGGCTTTCATTTGGAGATGGGCCCTACAGGTTCAGATGGGCATTCGGAGTGGCTGAGACCATAGAGATGGACTAAGAGGACTAAGTACCACCCTGCATGTCCTATTGCACCTATTGTCCTAATGGACAGGCACTGCCCAGCTCCCAGGCAGGGCAGCTGAGCAGCTCTGCTCCTGAAACACTCCTTTCCAGTCTCAAAAATCGTATTTATTGGGAAAAACTGACCTCAGCCCAGAGCAGCTTTCCCTGTCTTCTCTAGAGATTCCTTCCTTCTAAATTTTAACCTCTAAAGACTCATCCAGGGGACTTTGCACCTCTAGACTGTAAAATTTGGCATCAGACAAGCCTTGAACAGTGTAATTATATCTGCTTGAAAGGATAATAATCAGTGCAAGGTACTGCCCCTCTGCCTCTGCCCCCAGAGTCACAGCCTTCATAAACCCTTCATGAGGCAGAGATGTGCTCCTATTTCTATTTTGCTGAAGAGACTAGGGATGGGATTGTTATGACATTCTTTGGTGGGTATCACACCAGTTCTAGCGGTGTCAGTGGCAGGGAAGCATGGGCAGCAGAGCCCCTGTAGCCTGCCTGCATCTAGGGGTCAATTCTCCTGCCCTTGTCCAGACATCTGCCCCAAGAGGCAATGGATCATGCCCCATGTGCCATCCATCTCCTCAGATTTGTGACTCTCACACATATTTTTTTGCTTTAATAGACATGTAGAAATCAGCAAGGGGAGAATTTGTGTTTGGAAGGTGAACACCTTATGAAGCACTGGTGAGGAGGTGAGGGTTGGGTGATAGCTGAAAAACTGGCTTTTATCATACTGGTGCTGAGGTTATTACTTAGAAAGGAGGGTAATAAATGCTGTGAAATGTTACACTGTGCTGTGAAGTGTCATTAGTGTCAGAAGGGGTTTTTTAAATATAGGAAGGAAAAACTCACTTTGATACCCATTATGATTATTTTAGAGGTGAAGTTGTACTGATGCTAAAACATGTGTGTGCCGAAGGCTGATGTACTTGTATATCACTGAGAAATCAATGCCCATGAAAAGGTATCAACACGAGAGTCCTGTTGCTTGAGTTGATGTCATCAGATATGGATTTGTATAATATGTAGCTGATGAATCTATTTTGATGAGAAAAGGGATGTTGAAAGCTTGCTCTTTACCATTATGCCACTTAACCCAGAGCCCAGATTTTTCATGTGAGAAACTAAACCCAGGGAACTGTGACAAACGTGACACTTGAGTGGGAGACTCTAGGAAGAAGAGCTCTGAGTAGTTTCCAGCCTGAGGGACCCGTGAAGAGAGTCATGGGGAGACTGCAGGTATGGAGTTAAATCTGAAGAAATGTCTGTTGCGGAGGTGAGACCTGGGGCAGCCCGCATGGGGGAAGCAGAGGGACCTGCCAGGACTGGCCAGCATGGCTGGAAAGAGCTGGATAAATCCCTTCAGTAACTTGCTTTTTCACCACCCTGGGGGTATCAGCGTGACCCCAGAAACAGAAATGGAAGGGAGGTCCTGAGGAGCAGAGGATGCTCTGACAGTCCCTGCTTTGTCAGGAACAGCTTGTGCAGCACATCAGTCATGTTGTCCCTGGTGCCAAATTGGGCTGTGCTGCTTTCCCTGGGCAGGGGGCTGGTGGGAGGCAGAGCTGCTGGAAACTGCTTTGCTTTCCTGTGAGGTGGTGTTCCTCAGCAAGATAAAGGCATAACAAAATAAAAAATATTACCCATTATAGAGTCATATTATGTGCTCGAGAAGTAAGCTGCCTTGCCAGAGTTTGCTTAATGGTGCAACAGAGAAATACTGAACAAATTTAACCAGCAGGCAAAGTTAATTTATTCACATATTTTTATTAAGCAGGACTAATTTACAAGCCTCATTATTTGCTAAAGGATCTTTATCCCTCAGAGCCCCTCCATGCTCCCACCCGCGCTTCTGCGCATCGTGGCTCTCATTGCCTTCGTTTTCTCCCAGCACCACCCTCCCATCTCGCAGGCAGGAGGAGGTGTGGAGTGACGCTTTGCTTCCACCCGTGAGCCCCCAGTGCTGTCCATGCCCAGACCCACGGGACAGGTCCTGCTTGTCCACCTCCTCCACGGGGGAAGTACCTGCTGGGCAATGCTGCTCCTGCACTAGCACAGTGGCTTATTTACTGTCTCTAACTGCTTTCTGCAGGGAAGGATTTCATCACATCTAGCTTCTAGGTTTGGAATTGCATCAAGTTGAAAGTTCAGGGTCAGGTGTTTGTGTTTGATGAGGCAGAGGCAAGGCTGGGATGATCTGGTGAGGCTGGGGAGCATTTGGTGATGGGAACCAAACTTCCTTGCTGTTGATCATCAGTGGCAATGCCAGCTCACACCCTTGCTGATGCCAGCCCTGACCCTGTTGTCATGACTTGTCATTGTAATGCAAATTTTCTTCAGCTGTGGAAATGTTGCCACTGATTTTGGGGGAGCCAGAGCAGCCTGCTCTATCTGAAGTTGTCCTTCCCTGATGCTGTTACAGAGCTGGGTGTTGCTGTAACCCATCGAGGATGTGGGAACCAGAGGGGTTTCTGGAGGTCTGGGCAAGAGAGGGGACTTGCAACTACAACTGGCAGCTCTCCCTGGAGCTCCTGTTGCAGTAGGGCTCATTGTTGGGCAAGAAGTCCTTTATTTTTGCCTTGGCAGCATGGTGACCCTGTCCAGAGTCCTTTCTCCAACCAGGTTGAGCAGGGGCCATTTTTTCTCAGGAGTTACCATCACACAGTGCCTGTGGAGCTGACTGTTTGGCAGAGCACACAGGAGTGGATCAGGCATGGCTATTTGCGTTCTCTTCCTTGTACTTGTTCAGGTTTGATATTTCTTAATTTACCTAGAGAAAAGTGTTAGTTAGAAGAGAGAAAGGCCCACCAATTAATCTTTTCTCTACCTGTGCAATAAACCCAGAGCACAGAAAGACACCCACACAAGGGACGGTATCCACCCTGAAGGCTCTGATTCCCTTGGGGTTTTGTGGTGTATTTGTGTGGATTTTTCATAGATAAAATATATGCTAAGTTTCTGCTTATGGCTGGCAGGCAAGAATGAATGGCCTTAATATACTGAGGAGTAAGTGTAAAGTATTCAGCTAAGACAGTGCTCTAGGAAAGATCTCATCCATAGCCACAAATCTGAATATACCAGAGCAGACAGCTAAGCAAACAAAAAACTCTCTCTAGAAGTATTTCCTGATTTTTAAGCAATTATATTTTTATTACATTTATCCTATCTATAGTATTTGCACTGTAATTGCAGTGAAGAAGCAACAGTAGTGAATTGCAGTGAAGAAGCAACAGCACCAAACATTAGAAGAGGAAATATTAATGAACATAAATATAAACAAATAAAAGCTATTTCATAGCATTGTGCATTGTCTGCCCTGGATGCGTGCCCATGTGTGCAGTGCCATACAGGATACCTGAGGAGCCATCAGTGAACACATGGCACATCCCTCTCTGTGGGAAGACTCCTGGGATGTGATTTGCACCATGGTCAAAAGTGTCAAATGAAACATGACTTTAGTGAAGGAAAGCAAAAAAATGCTGATGCAAAGTATTCTAGAAAGAGAGATCTTCTCTTTCTTTGAGCTGACCGTTGAAATCTCTTGCTTTGCAGAAGCTGATGCTGTGACTGGCCAAAGAATTGCTCTCTGTAGAACTGCTCCCTGTAGTAAGGCTGGTGGCACAGGGCCAGCTGTCACCACGCACCTGCAGGGTGCTGCCAGCAGCACTAGTGCCCAGTGAGAGACAGTCTGAATGGTTCATCCCATCTGCAACTTCCATAGAGACATGCAAAAACTCCCAGCAGTCATTCAGGAACGATGCTCTCGCGAGTCTGCATCTGATTACTGCCGAGATGGGGAAGCTTAAGATTTCATCGAGCTGTGCCCTGCACAGGCAGGGAACAAGTTAGTGTTTATTTAAGGGAATGCTTTGTGCATGAGAAGTCCCATCTGAAGGCAGCTCCACCATGCTGAGCACTGCACAGCCACCCTTGCTCCAGCCCAAGGCATTTGGGAGAGATGAGGAAATTCCTTAAAGGCAGTTGGTGAGTGGGAAAGCCTCTTTCAGATGGGGTTTTCCCTGCCTTTCCCACAAGGACAGCCTACTCCAGGACCTTGGCTGGTCTGTGAGATCCTGGTGCCAAAACAGGAGGTAGGGAAAAGGGCAAGATTATCTTTAGAGGTAAGAGGTGATAAACAAACCACTATCTAAGTGCAAAGGTTGAAGCAGCGAAGAGATGTCATCACCACTTTATCTTGAACTGATGCCCAGTACTGGTGAAAAGTGACTTTTTCCTGACTTTGGGCTGAAAGCACAACTTCATAAAGCCCCAGGACCACTGTGCTCCTGCATTGTCTGGCACCTGCACTGGGCTGGCAGATGTGATCCAGGACTGTCAGGATGAGTAGCTGATGACCCATCCCATCACTCCTAAAATGACACCTGATAATTATTTTGAAGCAACTGCCAGGAGATGTGATGTGGGGTTGGAAGCTGGCACCACAGCTGGTTCTTGTTCTTTTGAGCAAATTCTCTTAGACCAACATTTTTTTCCAAAGAGGAACCAAAATGTGTCGAAATGAGTTGGAGATGTGAGACAGCTGCAGAGAGAAGGGGAGAGATCTGCAATTCATATGGAGAGTTTCACTATGCTGGCTCTTTTGAATGCAGATTGTGTCAGGTTTTCACTCTGAACTCACATTTTGCAACAGAAAATTTCCAAATTATTTGTAACAGGCCTTCAGCATGCAAAAAGAAGAGTGGAAATGAGTAAGAAGCAATACTGGTTACCCCAGAAGGCTGCTAAAAAGCTGTTGATACAGAAGCCCTTCCTCCAGGCACCTTTCTCAGCTCCCCAGGACTCTGTGCACGTGACTGATTTTTGAAGGTGATGGGAGATTTGACCACCAGCTCACACTTCAGGCACTCAGAGAAGCCCCAAGATTTGTGATTTCAGCCAGCAACTCCAGTGGTTTTCAGGGGACATGAGATGTCATGGTGTGTTGAGGAGATGCTGAGGAAATTGAATTAGTCAGAGGTTTGCCTCCATCACTTCACAGCCCTTCCCAAGGACTGGGGAAGAAGCAGTTCTGAGTTTCTTTGCAGATAAGCAACCAAGGAAATAAAATCACCAGAAGAGACGTTTTCAACATGCAAATATAAGGTGGAAAAAAGTACCCTGCTTCCACACATTTCTTATTTATATGCTGTTCCAGTTGAACCTTCTGTAATTCCTCATCCTACCTGAAAACAGCTGGTGAGATGCTTTCATATCTGAGGAGGAAGAGAAGCCAATTCTCTTAATTTATTTCCCAAGAGGTTTTTTAAAATAAAGCACAGTGGTATAACTAGTCAGGGGTGATCTACAGCTTGGATAGGAGGTTTTACTTTGAAGTAGGTTGAGAAACTGAAATGACCAAGTTCAAAGGCTGAAAGCTTCCTCTTGCATTAGTTGGAAATATGCTGTGGCTGTTCAGACAAGAAAGAGGTAACTTGGCAAATTACAGGAAGGAGCAGGTTGTAGCCAAGGGCTTGGCTGGGCTGAGTCACATTTTCCCTTTACCAGGGAAGAGAAAAAATTGCACCATGTGCCTGATGCTTCATGCTTTGCACTACCATCAGCAACACAAAGTTTACAACTCCGGTTAGGTAAGTGTGCAGGGTGGGGGAACTTAGGTCCCATCTAGTCCTATCCTAAAAGAAAAAGGTGCCTCAACCCAGCATGGGTTTTGCTTTCTCAGGAGCAGCTGATGTTGCATGTGAGATCCTGGGCTCTGCGGGAAGTGAGCACGGTGCTCCTGATGGGGCTGACCTCAGGAGGAAGGAGCTTTCTCTGGCATTAAAACAAATTAATCTCAGAGCAGGGAGAGCTTTTTTCTCTGGCTGGACACTGCAATGAGCAGTGCCTGCAGGAAGAATTGAAAAATGATCAAACCCCACAATCAGTTGAAACTCTTTGAAATCACTAACTAGGTGGAGGAGACTGCTTAGCAGCAAGAGCTGCTGTAATTTCACCCGCTGTGCTTTGGGACTAGCCATACGGAAGGAATTAGTGGGTAAGACATGATCCATGTAGCACTCAAGGTGTGAAGGCAGAAGATTAGAGACATGTGTTTGGGGCAGCATCTGCAACAGCAGGATTCAGAGAGGTGAGCTTCAGCCAGATATTTTTCTGCACTTTCATGCCCTAGAGAGTTAGGCAGGGGCACCGTGATGGAGTTCAGTGATGGAGAACTCTATGGACACCAGTTCAAGTGGGTTCCTTGGGAACTTGATAAGGACTCAGAGCATTTTGTCACCCCCATGGTGGATGTACTGTCACTACCTGGGCATTTCTGCTGGGAAAGGTGAAAGGCACACTGCTTGGTGTGGCCTCCCAGCTCACAGCTCGTCCCCCCTGGACCTGGGTGCCGAACAAGGGTGGCCTTGTGTCTCTTGATGCATGTTGTGGCCCTGTGCCCAGGTGGAAGGGGAACGGGAGCAGAGCTAAGGGCTACTGTGCCTCCCCCGGGGCTGTGCTTATCAGGCACGCAGTGCAGTGCAGTGCCGTGCTGTACAAGTGCTGTTACAGCAGTACAGGGTTGACATTTAGATGTCACAGAATATGAAATAACCTGTAATTACAGCCTAATTATTCTGCCTGGGTTTTCTTCTTTCATAATATTGCATGCAGTGCTTTTGTCTCCTCTCAGCATTACCACTGCTATTATCTCCCCAGGATGCTTCTACAGCACTTCATCCACCCTGATTACTGGATTTGAGACCTGCCTATTTCTGTCCCTACCCCTGGTGTATCCCACCCCACATGTTGTCCTCAGAATGAGCACTGGGGTGAGTGATTCACGTCAGATGTGATGCAGCTGGTGCCCAAAAGGCACATTGGAAGATAAGTAATTTTTCACACCTGGCAGAGCTTCAAGCCTTGCTGGTTCTGGTAAGGGCTCAGCCTTAGTTACCTAAACAAGTTTCCTCCTACAGCCATCAGTTTCTGCAGTGAGGGGGAGACCTGAGGCTTTCCCTTCATTGTGCTGTCCTGAAAACCAAAGCTTCCACCTGCTCGCCTGGCCCTAGTTCCTGGTGGATTGGGCACACTGGAGCAGGCAGCAGAACTTAACAGTGGCAGCAAGGGTTGTGAACTCCTGGTTTGTGCTGTGGGTGATACCTCAAGTCCTGGAGGGGCCATGGGGTGTGCGGGTGATGCCATGGGTGCTGGGCTCAGCAGGAGGGGAAGGGGCACTTTGGGCTCCTTCTCCCCTGGCTGAATTGCATCCAGGTGCCCACAGCTGGCCTGGAGCCAGCACTGCTGGTGATGTGGGGCAGGGCAGGGAATCCCTTGGCATGCAGGATGACAACATTTGTTTTCACAGGCTTTGTAAAGACACGCTGTGCCCTATTCTCGCTTGGCTTTGCTCAAGCCAAACACCTGCAGCAATGGGGGTTTAAGTGGTGCCCCAAGAGCTGCACGAAGCACCCTTTCCCATGCCGTTATTCTCTGCAGAGCTGCATAAATCCCCAGTTTGGTTCATTGCACTTATCAAATCAGTGATATTTTTACTATTCAGGCTGCATATTTAAGACCTCAGCCCTTCCAGGAGCTACTTGGAACAGTGTCTGAAGAATGTACCTATAAAATGTTAACAGGGACAGCTGACAAATAAGGTATGCTCAGAAAAGATGTCTTAATTTGGGAGGATCCTGGCTGTATGAGGCAGCTGCTGGATGTGGGGGACTGAGATTGCAGCACAGGGAGGCAACATCCATCACACAGCTCCAAAGAAGAGCAGCCTAATTCCTCTTTTGTTATTAAAAATTTGCCCCTGTGACCCAAAGCTGACCTACTCAAGCTCTTCTGTATCAACAAATGACTGCTGCATTGGTCTATCTGTGCAGTATTTTGTTTGAAAGCCAGCTGCATAATGCTGACACAGAGAAGGCGATGTGGTCAGTTCTCTGAGGGGTAACAGGTTATTTCTTCTAGTTTTACAGTGACTCTGTGGTGATATTTATGGGGAAAGATAAGCAAATATCACCTATTATTGTATTAAAATGTCTTGCCTTTTTATTCTTCAGTGGGCAAAGCCTAGCACTGTTGGCAGAAGGACGCCTCCTGAAGTCTGCTCCCCATTCCCCATGCCATCAGTGGGACAATTTACTCTGACAGAAGCTCCCTGCTTCAGAAATTCAGGTTTTTACACTGGAGCTGGGGGTGGGGGGGAAGCAGAGACAGAACTTACCCATCTGCATGTACTCATGCCCCAGCTGCATCTCTGTGGGGAGCTTTGCCATGGAGCTGAACTGCTGCAAATACCTAACGTGAGCCCTTTCAGGTACCTACCACTGGTGAGAGGCT